GTCCAACTCTATCCTATATCTTGGACTATAAATGTTCAGCTTCTCCCTGAGATGGCGGCTTATCAAGCTTTCAGGTTGTATGCGGCTATTCTTAAGGCTAGAAACTACCAAGGTGGTGTTTTCAACACCAAAGGTCAGCAAACTACAGCCCTTGGGTCAAATCCAGCCCACTTCCTGTTTTTGTAAATAAAGTTTTTGTTTACTTTTTATCCTTTTACTTTTATTGTTAAATTTGAAGTGAGTTTCTTATAGATAACATTTAGTTGGGTCATTTTTTTTTTAATTGGAACATGAGCCATTTCATACTACAATAGCAGAGTGAAGTAATCATAACAGAGAATATATGCCCTGTAGAGCCTAAGCTATTTACTATATGGTCCTTCACTAAAAAGTTTGCTGACTCCTGGTCTACACCATGGATAAAGTCTGATCCATAACTACAAACGTCTTTATGTTTATGGACCCAATAAGCATTAGATTGTGTCTCTGCTCACCTCCACTATTCTATTCTGACAATACATACATAGCACTTGGCCAATAGAAAATATTCGACGAATGTTGATTACTTCTGACTCTTGGGGACTGTGGGATGCTCTTGGCTGCATGTAACAGAAAATCTGATTCAAACTGCTATAAATAATGCAGAAATATATTATATTGCTTAAAGAAGAAGTCTAGAAATATGGCCGGTTCTTGTATATCAGGATGCTGACAACAATTCTCTGCCTCTCTTTTGGCTCAGCTTCATTGTTATGCTGGCTTTCGAATTCAACAACAATCGGGATTACATATTTCATTGAACAGGTCCTTCCATGTAAGCATTCCACAAATTTGGGCTACTGTCTAAGTGGGTCATCTTTGGTTTCATGTCCACTTCCAGACTAATAATGGTTGCCAGAGATATCCCAGTCAAGGGGTGACTGATTATTTAAAAATCCATTGCTGGAGCTGAGCAAAACTGAGATTTAGATAGGGAGGAAGAAGAGAGAAATGTATGCAATAAGGCAATCAATAGTGTTTACCATTAGAAATCCAAAAATAGGTGATAAAGAGAACATTAAGTCCAGATATGTTCTCAGGTATTGTAGTCAAATGGAAATGACATCCTCTTTGAACAAAGCTCACAGATGAACTGCTGAAATGAACAGTCATTTAAAAGTTGATTTCTTACACAAGGCAATACCACAAAGTAGACATTTAGTAGTATTTGTATTCAGGTACAGAAGGTCAAGTAGAGTTAGAATTTGTTAATGAGATTTTGGCGGGAGTAGATACTATGAGCCATGTACTTCTTTATGTTAAGCTCAGTTCTTCCAAAGTTAGAAACATCTAAGGTGCATAATGATCGACAAAGATGTTTATTTTGTGCTTCCAAATAGTCAATATTTTTTCCACCTGCAATCACTGTTATCACAACTTTTGCATCAGTTCTTCCCTCTTTCGTTGCATTAAAGCCATCGATAAATCTAAGTGATCTGTTCTTCAGAGAGAACATTTAAAATACCCTTACTCTCTAATAGTCAAAATCTCTGTCTAGGTATCTCCTACTACCTCTTCCTACTCGGACTGAAGGAGAAAAATATATTTGAGCCTTTTGGATGAACCTATAATGCTCTGATAATAGGCAGATGCCTCGCCCAGTCTGTAGTTCATGACTGGAGGTAATTATTAGGCTTCTCATGTGACTTTGAGTGCAGAGCACCTTTAGGAGCACCCAGAGACCAGTCTCACCTTAATAACTGCCACACTTCAGAGGCTATGTGGACTGTGGAGCACAGTTGGGTGATAAGCCTCTGAAATGATGATTCATTACAACTTTTACACTCTCCCATTGTTCTATTTTCGTTATCTCTAAGGAAAACCTACTCAAGCAAATAAATACACAAACAGTAAATCTAATGCTCCCCAAACTCCTGTTTACCTTCTAGATCAGTTTCTTCTTTGTAATCATTATAATGCATAAAAAAGTTTATTTGGCTTCCATTCCCTTCTGAAACCTATTAGGAGAATCTAAAGGTGATTTTTATGGTTCATGGTAAACAAATGAAACACAGTTGACATAGATTTGCCAATATCGAAATGCTTTTCACATTTCTGGGCTAAGCTCAACTATGACCTCTTCTGTGAAACTATTCCTTCTATTTCTATCTTCTATCTTATTCATAATTAATCACATCTTCCTCTAGATTCCCACAAAATATCAGCCTACATCTCTGTAGCATGGTGAAAACAATTATTATAATAGCTAGCACAAAAGTTTACTGTCGCAATAAAATCTACTACACCATAAATTCCTTGTGTTGACGATTAGGGAGGATATCAAGAAAAAGGACTAAGTTCCCTGTCTGATCTGGCAAATTTTCTGGTTGGGTTTTCCAGAAGCTAACTCTGAGATGTAGATTTCTGTGCAAGGAGGTGAAGCAGGAAAGGGAAGGGAAGAGGGGCTAAGCAAGTGTGAAGTCCAGCCTCAGATATGATCCCATAAGGAGCTCTAAAGCAGAAGCTGCACTGCAGTCTGTCTGGCCTTGAGGCAAAGCATTTCTGCACCATTTGGCCATTGGCTTGGGCTGCTCATTAGGGACATAAACTCACGTTTACCTGACACTTGTGGTTCTTTAATCCTATGGGTAACTCCCGCCACTCAAAGGTAGTCCTCTAAAAAAGTTAGTAGGTGCTAGCTCTTTGAAGTAAAGCATGTGGAAACTGGGAGATGGGAGCATAGATCTAACAAAGGATACAAGAGGATCTCAATAGAACACCAATAGTGGTCACTACAACTAGTAAATCAAGAGCCACACAAACCAACAATAGGGCTAATGATTATACCCAGGATTATTGAGTACTTACTGTATGTCAGCATTGCTCTAAGCTCTTGATAATAGCTTATTTAAGCCTTAAGACAACCTTATGAGGTAGTTAATGCTATTATTTCTGTTTTGTCAAATGAGAAAACTAGATTTATCTAAGGAAGTAACTTGTCTAAGGTGACACAAAGATTCCATGGTGTGACTAAGATTTCAATCAACAAGTGTGGGTGTGTGTGATTCAACAGCATGCATTCTAAATACCATTGACTTTGACGTGGCTTCTCAATATGCAAGGCTGTTAAGAGTGGCAGAGCCTGAGTCATCTGGCCTGGGATCATGCCTTGGTAGCTCAGAACAAAACAAGACAACATATCTAACACAGTGTAGAAAAAATACTCAAATCCTCAAAAAAAGTTTAAAGAGCCAGAAAATCAACAACTTTATCCTTCGTAGCTATTTTGTATATTATACTATTTGGCTAAATTTCTTTACAGAGAATAAAGAAAGAAGACAAGGGAAGAAAAATAGAGAAAAAGGAAGGAGTATAATACATTATTACTAAAAGATATTGAGAATGACAGAAAAATAATATCCCGAACAAAAGCCTATTCATTGTACTTCAGTGTTTCCTGGGATCTGATTATTAATTTTTTTCCTGAAGAGAGTGAATTTTAATTCTCTTGAGAATGTCATCAATAACTGGTTAGCACCTTGCCCCCCATAAACAATATAACTTTTTGTAGCACATTAGAAAATTTAGTCACTTTTATATACAGATATCAAATTATAATGTACACTTGAAAATTATATAATTGTATTAACCAATGTTACCCTAATAAACTTAATTTAAAAAATTTTTAAAAAGAGAATCTGAGGACAATAATAGGGGAAAAAAATTTAGTCACTTTTAATGACTGGAATGCCAATGCCAAAAATATCATTTCTTATTTCTTCAAAATCATTAACTGCCTTTTGTTGCCACCTGAATTACAGGCATAGTAAAAGTACGATAATTTTAATCAAAGCCATTGTTTCTTTAAGATTGACTGACTATCTTAGAATGATGGAAATGAAAATTCTGGGCTCTGAACTATGAAAAAAGCATCGATCAAGAATATTTCAATGTATTTCCAATTCTAAGGATCCTAGTTCCTTTAGGTACTTTGAATATTTTCGCAACATGTTCAGATAATCTTATGACAAGTTTTCTCCCCACGAAAAATAAACATAAGCTTCTGATTTTGGTTTTGGGTAACATACAAGACACTAAAGCTACATCATGTTGTATAGCAGGCACTGACCGAGGAGGCAACTCTATTTATTTCTGTTCCTCTATTCATAGGTGAGATGTAATAATCAAATATATTTAACAAGCAAAACATGACAGGCAGCAACCAATCACAATGAATGCAGCAACCAATCAGAATGATGCTATGACCATTCAGAACAGATGATGCAACCAATCATAATGGATGCTGGCTGAAACATAGATAGGTGAGGTCATAACTGGGGATCCAGCTAAATATCAGCCATGCCTACAATTGATATAAAACTTAATCGTACCCATATTATTCAACTTCCCTCACAGAGAAACTTATTTCAAGATATTCAGGTGATTACTGAGGTACTGCGGTTACTTTTCACTCTCCAGAGCCCCTTACTCTTCTCCCAGCTACAGTGGAGGCAAATTCCCAGTAAGACTGACCTGAGAATGGCATTATAAATAAATAATAGCTAACATTTATTCTACACTTAGTTACCAGGCTCTGCCCATGTATTATCTTCCTTAATTCTTGCAATAACCCTATGAGTTATCTTCTATTATTACCCTTGTTTTATTGATGAGGGAACCAAGGCATAGAGAAGTTGAGTAACTTACGCAAGGTCACACAATTAACACATACCAGAGCTGGTACTAAAACCTGGGCAGTCCTTCCACTTAGCTACTAGGTATGATGTTATTACCAAATGGACATTCTCATCACCACTATATTATCAGCTCAATTCCATTCTTCCATCTAGCTAAATAATAAAGCGCCAAAGATGTTTTCTAATATTTGATCTATTGCTGGGAACCTATGAAGTCACTGACCAATATTTGTCTCCAAAGTGGTTGCAATTGCTCCATTTCTGATCTAAATTGTTTCAAACAAACAGCGGTCAAGGAGGGCAGAAAAGATCAAAGAATATTACCTTATTCTCTTGTCCTCCACTTTTTTCAAATATTCATCTCTCTTTAAGACTCCCAAAATAATTTCCTTTTCATGGTCTAATAAAAATGATAGATTGATGAACTCTGAGTTCTTAGACATGGTATTTCAGCAGCAGCTCCGAGTAGCAGTGGTTGAATCTTCCAGGTGAATTGATATCCCAATTCTTAAGGCCCTCTTCAACAACCCAGAGGCACTCAGTTTTTTGATGTAGAGTAGTTTTTATAAGGTCTCTGAAGAACTACCAATGGTAGTTAGGTATTCATCCAGGCTACACAGAAAACAGGATCCACTGGGATTATAGTCCAAGAAAGTCATTATTGTCTTAACTGAAAAAGCTCTCCAAAGCCTTTGCTGTTGTGTACAGAGGCGGCAGCTGAGTTTCACTAATGATGCTCAACATTAATCTTTCAGAAAGCTACAGGGCAGGAATCAGATCTGCTGGGGGCAGAACCCAGAAAACACTGAAAAGGTGGAGAAAACAAAGGAGAGAAAAATTCATTAGGTCATTTTTCCCACTGCACTTGTAAGAGTGTCTAATTGTTTCAAGTGATATATTTAAAAAATAAATTTTAATCCATAGTGTGTTTATTACCATGAAATGTTATTTATATTTAGTTGATTCCAGGTTCTCTATGCAAATTCAGTTTCTTCCATTACAATTAGCTTCCTCTGCCAGCAGATCCCATACCATACTTGCAGCTGACCCATGGGTGAAGTGGGTCACCACCTGGGGACACTAAATGCACAGTCTGGACTGTCCATGACAGGACCAGTCCCTTAAGTGGCTCCCACCTCCTCCCACTTCCTTCTCACAAGTAAAAACACCACATAAAAAGCACTGCTAGCAAAACAAACATGAACAAGTGCTATATGTATCGACCTGAATACATCTTACAAACATCATGTTGAATGAAAAACTCAAGTTACAGAAAAATTCATGCAAAATGAAAGTACACATAT